CAAAACAGTACAATTTTTTTCAATATCAGAATCAAGCAGAGGCCGAGATATTCTTTACGCGTGTAAGTATCAAGGCTAGATCATAATGCTATTCTTTATAAGACAAAAAAATTAGGTTATGTTACTAAGATGACATGCAGCGAATGTTGTGTGACATACTTAGCAATTTCCTACACGTGATGTTATCGATTACACGAAAGACGATGTATCCAAGATAAACTAGTGAAGTATTGCTTTATTGTTTGCCCTGTAACAATGACACGAGCAAATAGGTACCAATTTTGTCGCAAGTGTCTGCTTCAACATCTTTCCAATTCTTGCCATCTCCAAAGACAATCTTCTTCTCCTCTTTTTCCACAAATACCCGTCGGAGCTCGCATAGGCGCTTTTCCATATCCTCGATTGCTTTGTGGTTGATGTCCAGAAGAAGATGAATGGAAGGATGAGGTACCCGCAAAAGCTTCATCAAGAGGAGACTGCTCTGCATCTGCAAACTCTGTGCTCCCGTTCCACGCCCGTCCGTAAAGAGTGGATGCAGATTTTGTGGGCTGATCCAAACATGGCACGCGCGGGAGGAGCATCGATGCTTGTGTTGGCCGCTAGGATTGTGAAGCCTGAGTTCGGATAGGCGTCCTGTTTCGCATCTCGGACAGACCTTGTTCTTCCAATTCGGAAGCACACCGTCGGCCACCAACATCTTGACGATATTCTTGTTGGAGGCTAGGAGAAGCTGGAGAAGATTGCGTTTCCGTTTGACTTGCTCTTTGCGTACACCACGAGGGCCGACACCGCGGTTCTCCCGGATGTACTTCACCGCTTGCCATGCTGCGGTCTTCTTGGTTGCGGGGCGTTTCTGCACAGAGCGAAGTTTTCCCTTTTTGGGAACAATAGGAGATGGGACCTTTTTGGTCATCTCGCAGGTCTCGGAGGTCTACGAGGCTATCAGCTACGAATGTGTTGGAAAACCTGCATATAGGACATGCTGCTGTGCAAACTTGCAAACAGGTCAAGCGCATGTTACAAAGCATACCAGAATCGGTTTCCTTTTTCTGCCCAGTGACTAAGGCGTTGTAAACCAATGGAGAACCACAGAACTGTGCATGTGGTTTATACTGCTAACCAGAAAGAAAATATATGTGTGCTACTGTTGGCGATGACTACATTAAAAACATTCAAACACACGCGAGACATGTTTACGAACTATTCTGTACTATAGGGATGCTTGCAGACAGTTCTCAAAATCGGGTTCCTCATATGTTCGCGATATACTTGTTGATACCGGTGAAACGACTAATCCTCGCAATTCAGGGAGCCGCCGTGTCCGAAGATGTTCTCCTCGTCAGTAATGCTGTCTGCTACATCCATAGGTGAGCCAGGTGAGCCGGGAACCTCGAAATCAGGA